AAATAATTCTATTTCTACTCAAGGTTTTTGATAATGAAGACAAACACTATCTTTAGTCTATCCTGAGTACTCATTACGTAGGTCCTTACTGTCGTGGATAACATAAATATTCCAATTTTTCACGTCAAAATTTATACTCTTCTTCGAAATCGACAATTTCTCTTTGATAATGAAGACGTTACGTAAAAATAGGATTATTTATTATTATTATTGTTGAATGTAGTGTAATCAAAGGAAACATGAGTCTTGCGAATAATTTTGAGAACGTTAAGTCAAAGGTACTTCAGACCAGTATTTTGCTAATGAATTACGGACTCTTCGACTAGAAGAATAGAAAGCAGTTGCAGAAAGAGGTTCGTGCGATTCGCACTCGTAATTATGCCAGTGACAATTTTACATTTACAAATTGAATTGTTGTAATATGAACGATTATTTAAACTTCCCGTAAAAAATCGATTGCACGGTTAGTATTAACGTCAAATACCGATTTCCGATTCATTCTTGCAAGGAAAGGTGAAAAGGTTCTATTTCAATGTACTCCGGAAGTGAGGGACGTTTATACCGCGTTCGTCATGAACAGCGTGGCATTTGATTGTTAATTATAATTGAAACAAACAATTTTATTCTGTCGGTAGTTTACTTGAAAAAATTGACAATTTTAAACTAGGATCGAGGAATTTTACATATTATGTACATGTTTTTACATATACAAACTTTAAACCCTGTTACATATAATATAACTAAAAAAATTGAACGCTTTGTCATTTAAGGGTTTACACAGCCTTAAGTAGAATTAGGATCAAGAAATTTTATATATTATGTACATGTCTTTTTACATACAAAATTTTAACAACTATTATATCTAATAAATGTTTGTGAATACTTCGTCATTTAAGAGCTTATACGATTTTAAGTAAAAATAGGATGAAGGAGTTCGGAATCCTCCAGTCAACTGTATTGTAATCGAAGGGAAGAATTCTTTCCACTCCAGCCAGTCGATTCGCATCAATCCAATCGATTTTCTGTCGGCGTGGAATAAGTACTATTATCGATACATCATTGTCCTCATTCCCGTGGCAGTTTATGTACCTGCGAACGTCGATACGCTTGCACTGATTTTTCCAAACAGAAAGTAACCCGATTCTTTCGCCGCGAATTCTTTGTCTTAAACAATCACTTAGGAATTTCTGCTCGCGCACGATCGGACATTCGTACTGGCGGTTAATGCATGCAAATATTTCCAGAACGAATGGAAAATAATTTGGAGCATGAGAAACATAATGAATTATCACAATAAATTTATAATGCGTAATTAATTAGCCAGCATTATTCCTTCATTATGAATAGTTGATACTTGGAACGTGTTATTTCCTCCCCCTCTTCTCCCTGCTCGTTTAATGTTCGATTAAAATTAAATCGGGGAAATTTAATCGATTAAACTTTTTCCTTGTCGAAACAAAGGCGATATTTAATTTTTGAGAAAACGAGAGGAGTAGAAATTGTACCTCAGCCTACCAGTTAATTTCTATAGCATGCGTTGAAGGTAAGGACGAAAGGACTATCCGAGATGATCCTCAGTCTATATTCGATCGCTGCCAAAGGCGTTTCGTGTTGGCCGTAGGCGCCAATGGATTTCGTAAAATCCTTCCGCCACTGTAAAACTTGATAAAAGGAAGTGAATTCTCGATATATCAACGTTAAAATTGGAAAATTTCCTAATTAAAATGAGATTAGAATTTTTAGTGGTGGCTATATTTTATGTAACTGCATTTACGTGCATTCTACCCGCGCCGATAACGCTGCAATTAATCTTGGAATTTGCCAAGTGGAGAGCATGGGATCAAATAGTGCTATTCGAAAACTTGACTTCCTTAGGCAAGTAAAATATAAAACAGAAAATATTTAAACACCATATTTATTAATGCACTGAAGTACTAATAATTTCTGGTTCGAAGTTAACATGATTTTGCAAATAACAATGAGGACAGATTAAGAGACTTTTCCTCTTAATTAAAATACGAAGAACATTATTTTATTGCAGTTCTCAATTGCTCCTCTCAATAATTAAAATTGTTCAGCAGAAGAATAAAATTTAATTATTACAATCCAATGGCATAATTAATGGAGCACGCGACTTGCTACTTGGATGGAAACGTTTACAAAATTTGATAGCGCGTATCGTGCCATAATTATAATCGGAGGTCCCAACTATCTGACCTTTCCCGTGCGCTCCAATATTTCTTGTGGATACAACTTTGACACTTATTTTTTCTCACGCAGATTGTGTAATCAGTTATGCCAGGCCTTTAATCGGGTGTCTGACCCTCGAGGGGATCGGTGTATCAATCCAGTCAGCTATGAACCCGAATCTACCTGATGCCCTCACTATTCAAAAGCACCGCATCGGTTCCATAGTTCTTCTCGATGGGCTCAATCTCACGTCTTCTGATAACATTCTTAACGTGGTGAGACAAGTGGCTCGTAACAATTATCGATGACAATGACAGACTGTACTCGACTTTATTAATAATTAATTCATCATTGTTACACACATGTATTTGTTATTATAATTCAAGTACTTATAATTTCGTTCTAAATACATAATTATCTTGTTCTTTCTTCCATGTATTTTAATATAATGAATTATTTACTCTGTTGCAATATTACGTAGCAGGCATTAATATAATGAGATTGGCTTGTAAATAATTATCAATTACTTAATGCAATGCTGATTACAGTCTACATTAAGATATGCTGTAGATTTCACAATTTGATTAATAGATTAATTAAAGGGTTGAGAAATAGTATAGATACTTTCATTCTCATACAATGTACTAAAACATTCTTAGTATTCTAATTAATACCGCGTATATGTGACTGTACACGGTGCATAAAAATTGTACATGGCGCGACCACCGTAGTGGGATTCTAGACTTTTGGATTGGAGGAGATGTTTTATAAAATGGATCGTGAGCGAAGCCGCAATGGTAGATGCTAGTAAAATATAAAACTCGATAAAGATAACAAGCTTCATTGCTTTTAATTTTTATCAAGTACATGGCATTAGAATGAAGTTTAAAATGAACATAATTAGCAAACTTTGTAAGACTGAATTTTCGTCAGGCCTCGCAAAAGTCTCAATATAATTACTACGTGTCCTGGCTGATGATAACGGCGAGGAATACGGACACGACGATCGATACTGTGCTCCGACACCTAAACATCGGCATCGATAGCGACGTGGTGGTCGCCACACCTGCGTCATCGTACGAGTCAATTCAAAATTCGACACGAACATATTGGAACAGGTATACATAATTAGTTTGGTTTGCACATTCATTAGATAATAGAGAAATCATCAATCAATATCAATCGAGGATCGATCGATTTTTTAACCAGAAGCGTGTTAATCGCTTGCCCGGAACGGCAGACAATGTATTAAACAACTTGAAAAAGATAAATAGTCTGGTTCCGGGTCGAAAGTGCGAAATTACAAATTCATACTATTATTATTCATTATGTCTGACAAAGTTCGCATAGAATTTCAAATTTTTTAAGAGATCCTCGTCGAATATTCCATAGGACTTGTTCGTTTCTACGGCGCTACGGCGAACAGTACGTCTTCCGGGAGCCGCCGTTGAAACGGTCCGACGAGAATGCGTCGATCAATTTGAATTACACCGTCCCCGAGAACAGCACCGCCATGGTTTATCACTTTGTCCACGTGTACAAGATCCGGTACACGGATAATACTAGCCTGGTCACAGATTTCCTCGGCTCCTGGAGCCCAGACTGTTGGTCGCTGCGTAATCCCGTCAGCGTGAAGCTGCGCAGCGACTTTAAGGGTCTGCCGATCGTTTTCGGCGTGTTGAACGGGACGATCGACGGTCAGATGGACGTGACCGAGGAGAAGGCCAACGATATCGGGCCGCTCCTAGATTTCGCGAACTTTGTCACCAACAGCGTAAATGCCAGGTAGTTAATTAATACAAAATCGTAGACAAGTGACGCCTATGCTAATGGACTTAAAAAATATTTACAGTGTAAACTCTATGTTTTTTAATTGCTTTCAAGCCCGTAAAATTGTTTTTCTCTGTTCTACTGCGAAATTGGTTGAATAATCGTGTATGCAGTAGCTGGTTGATTGATGTACAGTATAGAATTGGTGCCGCACGAGAAACTGGGTACTTTGAACAACAAAGTTTGGAACAACTTGCTCGGGGACGTTGTCACAGGGGCTGTGGACATTGGGCTTGGCTACATTACCGTGAACAAGGAACGACAAGCTGACATGTCGTTCTGTCACCCTCTGATCCGTTACATGTGAGGAAATTATTTTATTAGGCACCGGGACAGGTTCGTGCGGATTTTTAGTTCAAAAGTTGTACAAGCCTTTGAATAAAAATAATTAAAAAGTAATTGAAATTTTTTGTTAGATATTACATTAATAAAACACTGTGGGAAATTTTAGAAATTTTGGGAGGGCATCAAGAAACATTATTACGTCGTCAGTTCTCTGAATCTTCTAAACCTATTTTGTCACAACAACTAATAGTACTTTGTCTACAATTACTGCAAATGCGTTTTTGTACATTTTTTGTTGTATTTTCAAATATTAACTCATAAATATTCATTAATGCTTATAAAAACTTGTATTTTGAACCTTCATCTGTGTACCCACTCTCAACAACGCATTTAAGAAGAAACAAAAAGTTGCAGAACGATTAAAAACCAGACTAATTATACTAATCAGAAATCAAACTTTAAATAAAACCAACTGCGTCTCCTGTTTGCCAACATGCGAACGAAAATTAATGTTCCAATTATAGTCTTAGAGATGCTCCAAGATTATAGTACTAATGAAAAAACCGCACAAACGTCTTCCGGCACCGGTATCTTAGTTTCTGTTCACGTCTTAATTTCTACTCACTGGTTTCATGATTACGCATGGAAAGAATAGACAAATGAGTCAGTGAGTAGAAATTAGAACGTGAAATGGAAACTTTTACTAGAATACGTCGAGATTTTTTATTTGTAACATTGAAACATGTTTCGGTATTTTTTTAAGGAGGAACATATATTATCATCCGCTGGAGACTGGTACCATGAGAGACATATTCCGGCAGCCGTTTAACAATTACCTGCTAGGCTGCGTCGCTTCGACTTACCTCGCAATATTAATAGTGATGGGATCGATCATTTATGCGGCGAGAACCGTTTTACACCACACGGAAGAAGAACGCGTCGGAATCGGCCAAGTCGTCGTTTGGTGCATCAGCATAATGTGCATGCAAGGTGTTGTTCGAGAAATGATCATACGATTTCACATTTGAAATTCTACGAACTAATTAATTACAGAGCAATCATTTGTATAATTGTAACCGCAGGTTCAGCTTGGACACCGCGCAATCCATCAGGGAAGACGGTTTTATTATTCAGTTTAATATTCGCGTTGGTAATGTACAACGCTTACGCTGGTTTTATTACTTCGATCTTATCGGTCCAAGCTAGTGGCATCAAATCCATTACTGATATACTGTCGCTTAATTTTAAATTGGGTTGCAGCATAAACGATGATGAATACATTAGGGTAAGTATTAAGT